TATAAAATAAATGATGTAGAAAGTGTTTAGAATGATTCAGGATTAAAATATATAATTACTGGAATGAGGGTTACTCTGACTCGGATTCCCAGGGCAGCAAGTGTAAGCATTGTGGTTTTCTACCCATGCTAAAAACTTAATTCAAATCACGAATTTTGTTAGAAAAATAAACATTCCGGCATTCTTCATACCTCTCCTCACATTTACGCATGTACAGGGGAAGGCAGATGAACTTCAAGCAGTCACCTTAGCCAATTAAAAAAGAAATAAGTCTAGAAAGCAAGTATTTAGCTGATGGGTCAGATGAGTTCAGACAAACGCTTCAGACACAGCTGCTCAGTCGCGGGGTTTAGAACAAAACATCTTCCTTGTGGGATTAGTTGACTTTGTTTAACAAAATATACATGGTCAGGTTACTTCCTCAAAACCTCCCGATAAATCCTGTACAATTAACAGCGAGTCGTTACACCGCAACCACCGAAGAAGCTCATTTTTCTCTTTCACTTTGGTCCACTCACACAATGTTATGAGAAGGGTCACAGGGTGGGAAACTCAAGCAACTTAACACATGAAAGCACCCAGTCCACTCTTGGCCTGAAAGTCTGTGTGTGATTAACTGAAAGAAACAAAACATAAAAACAAAAAAAAAGAGCATGAATTCAAGTTATGAAAATTAAACAAAAAGCAAAACGTAGCGAGTTATGTTAAAAACAAAAAAAAACAAATGGAAGAGAAGGGCAAACGCTGCTCAGCATCTGGAGACCTGGGGAGGGGAGCACCCCACGCTTGACCTGCCTGGCAGCTGCAGCACAAGGGGAACCTCAGCACAAACACCTTCCCCCTCGACACCTGCAATTCTCCCATCTCCATTCTTTCCCTATTAAAGCATCTAAAAACTCTGTGTTGGAACATGAGATGATAAAATGTTCAACCAGCTCTCCTAAAAGCTGAAACAAAACACCCCCTCCTCAAGCTCACCATATATTCCCAGCTCCTGCAAGCTCCCCAGCATCTTGCCCCTAACCCAGGATGTGCCTCCCCTCACAGTCCCATCCCCAGGGACAGCAGGGGCTCCCCTGGCACCCTCTGGGTCCTGCCCAAGTGCAAACCAGCACCAGCTCCTCCTTTTCCACCCAGGACGTGGCTGCACTCTCTGTCCACGCAGGTTTCTTGAGCCCCTCAGCTCCTTTCACTGTCTCCGAGATGAAGAGGGGTCTGGAGAGGCAGGTTGCCAGCAAAGCCAAGGGGAGGTACCTTTCTTTGGATTTTTTATTACAAATTTCGTTATCCTGCTTGAGCAGAAGCCCCCAAATGCCACACTTTGAACTAGCTCATGGGTTTGCAAAAAAACCCAAACCACCCCTCCTCTCAAAAACCCAACCCCCAACCTAAAACCACTTTCTCTCCCTAATTTATTAATTTTATCCCTGGTGATGATGCACCTCCCCTATAGCCGTGCTCCAGACCTGAAGCAAGCCTCCCCAACCCAGCACCATGCAGGGGACCCCACTGCACAGAGCATGCTCTGCGGGTGCCCCACGGTCCTCCACACACCCCCAAACTGCCTTCATGTGTCTCTGTTTCTGACCACAGCTGGTTCCTAATTGCCACCCATCAGAGGAAGGGTGTCCAGACCCACATCTGCAAAGGGGCTAAAGCCAGCAAACCCATTTCTATCGCAGGCAGACGGAGCAGAGCAGAAGCTGCGGTGTTTCTGCCAGGCAAGAGCACACCGTACATCACCATCGGAGCATCCCAGTGACCGGCATCGCTCCTGCGAGTTAACAGCGTGCAGCTCACCATGCTCACCTTCTTCAGAGCAGACCTGCTCCCCTGCTGCCCCGATATTCAACCCCTAATTCATGTGTGACTTCAGATGGACTAAGCCCCATTTTCAGCAGAGTATTTTACAAACCGTATTGGATTCTGTGTGTGAGGTGGGACGTGCCCAGAGCACACCGAGAGGTCTGCAGAAGGGAGTGCTTTGGTTTTAACACCAACACATTTACATTCCAAGGGAATGTGTTAAATAGTACATTAAATAATATGCAGTTATCTTCCATATACAGAAACAAATTACTATCATGTCAGTACACAGAATGAGCTCCTCCAGTGCTGCCGTTCACAGCAGAGAAATGACAGAGCACAAGATCTCATCAGCAACGCGAAGCTGAACGTTGTGTTGTCAAAAGCAAACTCGGGTGTTGCTACTGTCAATGTTTTTTTCCCTTTTCATCACTAAAAGGCTCAGAAAGCATTGCCACCAGCCTGCTCTGGATTTGACAGATGCTGTTCTGACACTTCAGCTCCTTTGTGCAAGGAGAAGTAACAAAAAACGGTGCAATAACAGAATTACCAGCTTGCACGATGGCATGTTTCTCATTTTGTTCCCGAGCCAGTGTTCCTTGAAGACTGACTTATTCAAAGGAGCAGGATCACCCCCCACAAACCTTTTCTCCTTAAACTCACTTGCCCATTCCTGC